TGTGTGTGTGTGTGTGTGTGTGTGTGTGTGTGTGTGTGTGTGTGTGTTTGTCTGTAATCAAGTGGATCAAAAGTAAAAAAGTGCTCATCCACTATAGGACTATTGATGATCAACACATTTCCAGAATTTTCAAACCAAACAAAGCACATGTCAGATGGGATTAAAACGCCTCAACACACGTGACTGTCAAACATGACTGCAGTCAAATGTGTGAAATATATTCGTATAGCTATGTATCATAGCTATATTCAAAGACATCAACGAAAAATAAATAGGAGCTACATAAATAGATAAAAAAAACTGAACTTAAAATCCTGGTTATCTGTTCTTTTTTGATACTGTCTCGATATGTGATTTCCACATTATGTATTCCAACAGTAGAGCCATCAAAACACAAAGCAAGGCATTGGTTGCATGAATGTACAATTAAACAATACAACAAGATAACAGCATACAATGATTAGGACCAACGTGGCTTCAGCTGTAACTTCTCTATTTGTGGCATTATGTATACAAGCAGGGCTTGAACATTAAAAGTTAGAAAAACTTCTGCATCAAAATGATACTAATTGTCAAATGCATATTTCATAAATATTATAAAACGCACAGAACCAAACAACACTGAGCCAAATGTGTCATGACAACAAAACAACTAATTAACTGAACTTAAATATTCCTAAATTAGAGACAGCTGAAGCACTTCCTGATAGTTTCCTCTGGTCACCACCAGAGGTTATCAGCCCCCTGTCTCATGTGTCCTGTTGAACGTGGCCTGCAGCTCTGACGTCTCCACACACGGACACACACACAACCAAAAGCAATGCAACTTTTTAAAATACATCTCATGTTTTCAAGGTAAAGTCAGCGGTGGATGAGGGTGCAACGATTTTAGTTTCGTTTACTTCTTCATTATTATTTGAAAGGATTATGTCTGGTGAGTTTATTCATGGGTCTTGTTTTGTTTGGTCCCGGGCGTGTAGGCTGCTTCATTATTTTAAGTGATACAGTGAAGAAATAAACTGTACACTGTATTGCAGTATTCAGTTAACAGAACATAATTCCAGATTTTCTTCTACAATTGTATAAAAACTATTTTGAATAGGATTAAATGGATATTTCTGTATTTATCCATTGTGACATGTATTATTTACAAAAAAAACTGTACATTCTGGTACATTGAAAGAAAAAGTATTCGTTTGAATTACACATAAAAATAATTTGCATATTGTGCAAGTTTTTTTAAACTATTTTGTTTGAGACTCGTCATGTTATGTGGCAGACATTACATATACTGCTAGAACTGTTTTTTTAGTTATTATTATAATTTCGGCTATAATGTTGTAAAATATCAAGAGTTAAATGTATACATGTATAAAGGAGGCCTAATTTTCTCTCAACTTCATCACACGCTTTACTTTGAAGAAAATAAGAATTTGACAAATGAAGTAGGCTACAAATCATATATCCATGTCTGTGGAAGTTAGTTTTGACTGTTCAATGCGCAGCGTTTGTTGTGAGCTAAACCGTCATGAAACAAAGTTCATGTAGGCCTACTGCCATAGTAGGAAGAAAACGGCCATACCTTTAATCGTTATAGTGTGGGCGACGTCGTATTATCGTTTCCTCTCGCTGAGTAGACAGTATGGCTGCTTGTTAGTGTGAGACGTTAAAAGTCCTACCTGTCCTTCTTTTTCAAAAATACACACCTCATGAAGACTGCATGAAACCATTGGTGGTTCCAGAGTGCCTGCCAGAGCAATAGGACTTCCGCAAAACACAAAGGAACAGACCCCAAATGTCAATGCAAAGCTCCGAGAGATGGCCAGAAATGCAGGTCAGAGGATATCGCTACACTTCCCCTTTTTTATGTATTTATGGCATGCCATTAAGCCCGGCTGTCTAGACAGGGAAATAACACCTTGTTTGCCTACAAACAAACCGTCAGCATTGGTGTCCAGCCCCCTATTTATTATTCACAATCTGCTGTGATGTCAAGGTCAAAGTGACTGCATAGTCATGGTCAAGGGTAAATCAGGAGACCCAGAACTTTCCGCAAGGATCGAAAATCCAGGAAGCAGACCAACTTCAAAAAAAAATGTAAGTCTTGGATTCCAATCAACAAACTCAAAATACCTGAAGAACTGGAAAGAGTGACAAGCCGCAGCTATTGACAATTTAAAATACTAAAACACTGGCATGTTGACGTCATGTTTTCAGCAATAGCTTCAACATTAGACACATCAGGGGGAAATAGTTAGGGCTTATAAGTGAATTATTTTTGACTTAAAAACAAAAGACAGGTTTTATTTATTTACATTTACGTCAGGACATGAACTATTCTGCAATTAAGTTCATTTAGATTTAACACTGAAATAAGGACTTGTGATACTAGTTGAAAGTATCTAAAAGTAAACCACCTTCAACGTTTATTATTCTCAGACCGGTCGTTTTTAAATGTAATTTCTCGACATATTCTCAACTTTCATATCTGAAGCAGCCTAACTTACCTATGAGAGAATAAGTTACTTTTGCTCGATAACACTGGCCGCACGTAAAACTTCCCCCATTCATACATTCAGGATCTCTAAATAATAAATATATAATCCATTAATAAATCTATGTAGACTCGATCTGCAATGCAACTTCGGGCTATACCAGCGCTTAGCGTGCGCACGTGTATACGTATCCATAATAGGTATAGATGAAATAAATAGGGAGTTCATATATAGGTGACAGAATCGAATGCATCCAAGTTAATTGCTAAACTCACCTAATTATACTTAAACAGTGTGCTATAGAAAGTCAAATCAAAACTAATTACGCGGGGGGCTGCAAAACTATGCATGTGCTGTAAAAGTACATTTACACGTGCAAATGGTTGGCAGGTTATAATACATGCATGTATTCTTCTTATCTTAATAAAAGCATAATAAGCAGCATATGTTGGCCTTACACCGGACGGTGACAGGGAAGGAAACGTGCTTGTTGAACTATTGGGTGCAGGTAATAATGATAATGATCATCATTTGATGAACAATAACTAATTTACCTGTGGAATATGAAAAAGGTCAATAATATGCTGGGATCAACCAGTACATTTCCGTGAAAGCTGTTGAATAAATCGCAGTTATGAGGGTTTCGGCCTGTTTCATATGATTTTGAAATTGCACTTCTGCCAAGTATCGGGTAACACATCTTGAATATTCATTTGGATTCAAAATGCGGTTTGAGTTGGAGGACAGGGCGTGGTAGATTTGGACGTATACTTTGCGTTCGTCTCACCCGCCTTACGTGTTGTTTTTAACTGATACAATTGAAGGATCAAGTCTTAATACAGCATTTCTTTCTGGAACAGAAATGGTTTAAATATCATGATTCACTTGGTATTTTTCAGTGTGAGAAAACGCGCCTTGCTGCTCACCAAACATCATGAAGCACTGTATTATCTCCTTGTGCCATTAACAAGACTCCAGGATGCCCAATAAGTCTTAATCAAGCACTCTGTAACATACAATCCTCACTCGCTCATCCGCTGCTGATGTTATGGATTCAAGTTGAGGAGGATAGACGACAGTGTTTAGAGCTTCTGCAGCTTAATGACACCATATGTGCAGTTGAAACGGAAGGAAATTCTGCAAGTATTGACTAAAATATTTAAGCATTTTCATAATCATCATTTATTTATGAAACACGTTACCAGTACGTAATTCAACACCACAATACAGTTCACATACTGCACGAAAGTAGAAATTGCAGGCTTCGTACAAGGCGTGTAGTCAGCTGCAATGCTACACTAACAAAGACAACAAATAAAATAAAACCATTGTGCATTTATGTGTAATACTCACCGATTTTAATAGTTTACAATCATTCCAGTTGCATGACAGAATCCTTCACTGACAAAGGAAAACATACAGGTCTTGGGATATATCAGTTTACAGTTCCGCCATACTAGATAATATGAATTAAATAAAAATGCATTGCACTATACAGATTAACAACATAGGAGCTTTGTCTTGTTTTACCCCTGGCTTAAGAAACATTTCCAACACAGGAATATAGCTTTTGATATTCAGAAGGAATATTTAAAAAAAAAACATTTTCTTTCGGTCGAAAGTCCTCGTTGTGAGCTTTTTCTTGAAGAAGTCTCAAGGGCAACTTGTCATTACGCCACAAATTATGACCATGTGACGATTATCTTTCTAAAAGGGTATCAAACAAGTCTTCTCTGCTTTGATCTGCTCGTTGTATAAATCATTGAAATGGTGTCAGTCCTTTTGAGATTTGGCTTGAATAAAAAAAGAAAAAGAAAAAGACAGACACGCAATACTTGTCTTTGAAATACAGATACTGTTTTAAATATTATATATTTATATATGTACAATCATAGAACAAATGTGGAGTGAATTTTCAATACTTTCACAGTTTTTAGAGTATTATTTCCAACTTGAAAACAGGGGATGTGGTGGCATGGTCGACGGAGATGACAGAGGTGAAATAAAAGAAAAACACTGCCAAAATGTTCTTCAGCAACGATTTTTGATGCAAGAGGTAAATACATGGCATGGTGTGTTTGAAGTTATGAGTTGCAGTTTCAAGGAGGCTGCTGATCTCATCAAGTGGTGTGCATATGACTGCTCTTGGATTTACAGACAAACTTCTTCTCCTTGACCCGTCGGTTTTGGAACCAGATGGTGACTTGACGCTCTGAGAGGTTGGTTCCAGCCGAGATGCGTCTTCTCTTGTCTTTGGTGATGAACTTGCTCGCTGCATACTCGTTCTCCAGCTCCTTCAGCTGGAGCTTTGTGTAAGGGACACGTTTTTTACGCCCACGTCGGTAACTGCTTACCTCAGGCTGCAATGGCACAACATCTGTAGGGAAAAAAAAATGCCAAGAAAATATTAGACTATGCGCAAAAACACCGCAATTTTTCACTTCAAAATCAGCAGCAACTGCAATTGTCAAGACTGTTCTGTTTCCGAAGCAAACTTGGCAATGTTTCGATTGAATTGCTGATTGTCCGAACTTGTGTGTCTGTGTGTGTGTGTGTGTGTGTGTGTGTGTGTGTGTGTGTGTGTGTGATGGTTGGGGAGGGGGTCTCAGGTGTAGCTACTACACCTGACATGTAGCAACGCAACACAGTGTTGGGTCATCCTTGGTTTCTGTAAATTAATAGTTACTATCTGGTTACAGCCACTACAATTCTGCTTTGTTTTGCAATGGTAAGTGATCCATGTTTCCCTATGGCTACATGTTGATACTTAATCTTCTGATTGACAATCTACTAAACTACGCAACACACCTTGTTAGTATCTTGGATAAATATCTCGTATCTCGTATAATGAACTACTGGCTAACAGTGTGTTGTAAGCCTATAAACTGCAATAAGTCTCAATGTGGCTGTAATACGTCGGTCAGAGCCAGATTACGAAATAGAAATCACTATCTGGCAACTAAAATTAATCCTCATCTGGCCACTAAAGTGACAGTAATTGAAAACGTTATGTTGTTTAATCAGAAAGTTACACGTGTTGCACGTAATTTAGGTAAAAGTTCATTCATTTAAAAAAACTTGACAGAATTTTCATGAAAATTAGACATCATTTTTCCCCACTTTGTCCTTTTTAAAAGCTCCAAAACCTTTTGGCAGTGGCTACCTGACTTGTTCAGGTATAATAAATTCTGGGATTACACCTTTTCGACAAGACCTGCGTGTTGCAGCCAATGAGAAACATGACAGGACAAGCGTGGCATTACCTTGAGAAATAGTGGCAAGCTGTGAGACATGAAGCTTTTTACCACCATGTCATTTTACAGTTATGGGTTGTGGTTATTTCTACACAGTTGTGTCTAAGATTATGGTAGTTCTTAATTTAGGCTAATGGATAGTCAAATATAGTTAATCGCTAAATATTTTGTCATAAGTAAATTGAGGATATCTGAGTGGAGTTCACTTTTACATTCTTTAAAGCAAACTAGTTTTGCACGACTGTGACTGTATTTGTGTATATGGTATGTCCGTGAGGTGAGACAGAAAGACAACGACAGCGCGCTCTTGTGTTTTTGTGCGCGCGCATTCGACTACGTGCCCGTGCCTGCGTGGCTTGCTCTTTCGATATTTTCAATATAAAAGGAGGTATATGTCGTGTGAGAGACCCTGTCGAGGTCTGAGAACGTTCCTATCTGAAATTAAAATGCATACAGAGTTCACATAGATAATAGACCCTTGTGGTAAAAGAAGCAGCCTAGTAAAGACACTGTAAACTGCATATTGGACGGGCCCCTGTGCATTTTAAGATATCTTGCATGTATGACGAAAAGTAAAGTAAAAGGCAAGCCTGGATTATATAATGTCAATAGGTCAGTGGTTGTGAACCATTTGTGAAATGCTGAGGTTTATATAGGCTACAACTCAAATGTTGGTCAAATGAATCCTAAATGCAGGAGATTGTGGACACATCGCAGGGCGTTTAGATAAATTGGGACCATCCAAACACAGTAGCTTGGTCACTATATTGTCAAACGGGGGGCAAGGGGCTAAACTGGTGCTGCTTCCTATTCGTAACTGAAACTATATTAATCATTTGACTTCCTACAGAAAAAAAACTAACTGTCGAAAGCAAATGTTCCGTTTCTGAATGTATAGTAACCAGTAAAGAGCCATGCAACAGAAAATCTCATTGAACTCACAATTCAGATTTTTACGCACACATCTAGGAAAATGCGTGATGATTTGCTTCATGTCAGACTGAATGACTGGCTATACTGACAGAGCCCATAAAGGACATATGACAACTCACATATGGCTTGACAGTTATATGTTTATTCAGCACATTTAGTTTCCCCGGACTTCTATGTAAGTTGATGTTGGCACTTTAACGCAACAAATGTGTACACCAAGCAATAACATCTCAGCAAAGTCAAAAATATCCGGCTATATTTAAATAGCTTTCTTAATGTGATGACACGTGTATTAAAAACGTACACGCTGCTGAACCATGAATTAGAGCCTGGAGAAAGCACTGGAAGAAAAACATGTAACTATTTTCACATACCTGGAAATGGTGATTTCCAGAGATGACTTGACTGCGTTTGCTCTTTGGAGCAGTACACCTGCCCATCCCAACCATTGGAGAGAGCCCAGTGCTGGTAGCCTTCCATGGGGATCAAGGCGTCGTGCCTCGGTTCGGGATGGGCACTGATACTGGGCACCACTGACATGTCGAGGTATCCAGGGACACCCTGATATGAACTGGCGAAGCTCGGGTAGAAGGCAAACTCTTTCGCCCTGGTGGACAGTTCTTCCGTGGGCAGCGCAGTGCTGGGCTCGGCATATTTCTCTGCGGGGTGGTACGAGCAAGGCTTCTGCTGCAAGTTCACGTTGTGCGAATGAGATAATCTACAGCCGTAATATGGGTTTCCAAAAGGATAGCCGTAGCTCAAAGATGCACTGGACGACGTTTGAGGAGCGGGACACTGCCGGCCGGTGTCTGGAGAGGAAATATCCGAGTAGACGGAGCCCTGGTGGGTCGCTATGGTGCCAGAATGTCGTCCTAGCGCGGGGTGCGACATCAGGTCCCGGCAGTGGGTCGCAGGGCAATTACCGCTCAGTCCCTCCATTGTTTGGCTTTTATTCTGGTTGTTTTCATTCGGGCTTTTTTCATAAACGTACATCAAGGTGTCCGCCCAGCGTGGATGCAGAACCAGCGAAGTCGTCATATCAGGGGCTGCCGATGCTTTTTAAAAGTCGACTACTCCAAGACGGACACCTCATTTCCAACTACATTTTACACCATGCGCATGCGCACACGAAGCTCTGGTGTGTCCACTTTATTATGAATCTGGCACGTGATATGTTAAGAAGTCCTACGCGAGTTGGGCAGAGCAGCCCTTTAAAGACCCACTGCCTCACATATCACAGTTTTTTCTTGCAGAATATCGAGTCAAATCATTGGTTTAAATCACTGAGACCCACAACCTTAAAGGGGAGTTTGGATACTTGCAAGATTGGGGCAAAGGGAAATAACCTGTGAAATGTGGCCGATTCCGAGGACAGCCAGAGAATATGATAGCATATGATACATGTCACCGTACATGGAAAATAAAAAATAAAGGCATTTTTGATTACACCTTTGAACATAATCTTTCAACTTTTCAACATCCTCCTACCAAGACTCCTTTTTTGAAGGACAAATTTCCTTTAAACCAGTATAGAACTGCCACTGGTCACCTCATAACATGCTGAGATGAGAATCTGGGACTAGTTGGTTGTGGACATGTTCCAGTAGGGCATAATATTTATGTTTATTAATAATGTTACCTTTTAGAGGTTGATATTGGAGCGTAAAACAGCAGATTATAACTTTTGCATGACGTGTTTATTTTGTATTAATCAGTCAGGTTGAAACAATATATATTTTGTATCTACAGGTTATGCTTGTTTTGTGTGGTACAACCAGAAATTTTAGTATTGTCAAAGTTGAATGTGTTGAATGAGTGCCATTGCACCTCGGCATTAACAGCCACAGGACCAAGTGAACGCTATTCCAGGATACCGTCATTGTAAATTACCTTTCAGAAGCTACTTAGTGCGTCTTTCATTTAAAGATATAATTACAAAAGTCACCCACATTGAATGATATAGCCGCCTTTAGCGTATACAACTGTTCAGTGTTGATATGGTTGGGCCATAATGTGACCACTAAAATGACCATCAAACGACTATGTGATGTTTCTATTCATTTATAACATAGCCTACAAGTGGATGCTGACGCTTCCAGCCACAACAACAATGGGCGGCTTTCAGGACTTTGTGTAGACCTTATATTCAACGAGCCACCATAGAAATGCGGTCTTATATTTGTCCCTGGAATTCTGCCGCCGCTAATGTACTCACATCCTCTTTCTGAATTGAAGAACTGGCCACCAGCTAACGCTTTCTTCTAAATCCATAACGTCATATAGTTAAATTCGTCACCAGGCCCCGTAATCACAACAGTTGAGGATATTACATATTCCTCTCATCTTCTTTAAAATAAATCTGGGTTAATATTTAAAATGTGACTGTTTTTGAGGTTCAAATATTACCGATGGTATAGGGCCACATCATGTCCATAAAATACTTTTTTGTGAGGCCTAACCCATGAGTCACTCATAAAGCAAGCAAGCTGCCCTAGTTTATCAACATTGTTGCACTGCTGAGTTGCCTTAGGAATAATCAGGCCACCATTGAGTATGTGTATACTGAGGAAGCTAGACCCCTGTCCTTCCTCGGACAGAGACTAGTTCTATTGTCTCAAGGAAATTACAACTACGAGGGGTTCATCCAAACGGCAGCTGCACGGAAGTCCAAGGTCAAGGTAAAAAAAAACGCAGACAAACAGGGTCGTAATCAGAGTCTAGACAGACAAGAATGAACTTCACACTAGAGTATGCATGCAAACTAGGTGTTATTTAGAGACCCTTACTCTAAAATATCTGCTGTGTGTGAAGAGAGAGAGGGCTCCAAATAATCTCTCGTGGTTCTTTTTTTTAGTTTTTCAAGGATCAGGAATTTGACAGCTTTTGCGTTGAAGGAAACCGGCTCCTTCTAAACGAACTATTCCATGAAAGCTCAGCCTTCAGAAGATTACGTCCTCTTGAGTTTATGAGTGATAGCATGCTATTTTTAGTTCGGTTCATTTTGTTTTCTCTCAGCCTGAATTCGACATTATGCACAAATATTTTGTAGGCTACAGTAAATGTTTCAGCTCGTGGGAGACATGGATGTTGCAGCGTTAGTGAACAGGCGGCACAGTCTCGGGGACAGTTGAAGCTGTGAAATTTAGAAAAGAAATGCTATAATTTGATTAAGTTCCTCATGTTGCAATAACCACAATTCACACACCAAGCCTGCCGGTGTTCTCCAAAACTGAGGCTGAGCGATGTTTTTGAAACATATTCTCATAATTAATCATTGAAATTAAAAAGAAAAAGTAAAAGCTTAAATGTATATATATTGGGACAACTACAGAATTCATAATAAAGTATGTTTGCTGTTTAGCTTTTGAAAGAAGTAACAGAATTATTATACAGTTATATTTTCAGCAAATAAATGATTACCTTAATATTAAATATTCAAGCGCATGGCGCATTCACACCAAACAAGATGTGCACTGCACTAAGACACCAGCGGCACAACCTTAAACCATATGCCAGCAACGATAGTTGAGCGTGTAGCCTGTCTAATACACAACCTGCAAAACAAATATTCACAATTCATTCTATCAGATATCATACTTTTAACTTCCATCTATCCACACCAGTGGGCAAGTTGTACAGGTGCATTCTTCAAGGACGAACATTATTTTTTCAAGTTTACCATTGCAGGGCTGTTTTAAATTTAATGTTGGCTTCTAAACTACATACCAATATGATACGTAATATTATAATTTGCATATTGGTGGCTAAATACTTTAGCACTGTTCAAGATAGCCAATTGATATGAAAGTTGATATTTTCTCGCCCATAATCCAACCTAAACTTTATCCGAGGGAACATATTGCCTGTGTCTGTAAATCTTAAATTGGTACAGAAATATAATTAATTAGCTTGGTTTGAATTTCAATTTAGTCACCATAGAAAGTATAACAATTCCAACAACTCAACCAGCCATGGGCGAAGGGCCAAATAATATGGTATAGTCGTGTGGCTGTCAGTATTACTTAACTAAATTATTCAAATTAAACCGAATTCCAACACCGTAAGGTAAAATGATAAAACTGTAATCATGCATCGTTGAAACAACATATAATGCGCCATCACAGACTAAATGGTTTTATGATAATGCAATATAAAAACTGCTGCAGTGTCAGTTTTAGTGCATTTGTAAGTGTTTAAAACGTCATGGTGGTGGATGGTTTTTACTCTGTATACAGTTTATAGTGGGACTTCATTGCAAATGCATCCTGTTGGCCACTTTAAAAAATATTTTTCTTAAAAAGCCTAAAATATTCTGTCAGGTATTCTTCTCCGCTGCGGTTTCACTTATTTCAGGATTTGTTAATTGAAAGGACTATCAATATCTTGACAACCAGCCATAATGTGCTGCTGTAAATATGACAAGCAGACATCATGTTGACAGTCCCTGTCAGACGGAGAAAGAGCCCAACTGATGCGGTTTGTGGGTGAGGGGAGAGCATCCATCCCCATACCAATGCTGCTTACCTGCGGCTTCCGCTCTCAGGAACTGACTGCACGTGCACATGACTGAGCCAATGGATCATATCTATGCAGAATAAGCTTACATACATACACAGTTCATGTGTAGAATATTATTTTGATCCTGCAATACAATCAGGATCAAAATCATCCCAATGATTTCAAAATCGTAGGCATATATCTCGTAATCACATGACTTAAAAAACGAATGGAAACAAGGGGACTTATCTTTAAGAATTATCAATGGTCAATTTGCATTTGCCTTGATTTAACGGAAACCATATTGGCCACATGTACAGTGCAGTCCCTCCATCAACACGACTCTGTGTCTCTTTCATATGTTAAACACCGACAAAAAAAACAATACTATTACTAGTCAAACATTATCTCACCGGTTTTGAGAATGCTGCAAATCCTTGGGGGATACAAAGTCTTTGAGGCGGCGATCCAAGAATGTGTTGACAGCTTGCAGATAGAGTCTGCGCCATGCATGCTGGAATCAGGTTGCGTTTATGTTTACGAGTTTTCAACGAGTTTTCAGCGAGCTTCAGGCTTAGCTTTGAGATAAAACCATGTTTTATAATCAAAGTTACCCAAGTGGTAAATTCACGGAAAAGTGGACGATGTCAACCTAAATAACCAAACAGATCGGCACACTAGTGGGCTATAAAGGCCAATAGTCCAAGTGCACTTTCAAAATGACGATTTGAAGATGTCAAACTTAATGGAATAAACTTTGGACTCATTAAGTGTTTGAACTAATTAAATGGACAAAAATTGGACCGTAGTGCACACATCTCATAGTAAATAAAGACTAATGCTCTTTTGGAACTGGAAGTTGTGCGTGTGACTCGTGAGGTCTGGCGCATTACATGCATTTTGCATTAACGGTTATGTTAATGCTTCATTTTCCAACAAAACTGTGAATATTCGCTTCCTTTTAGCAAGTCATACTGCTGTATGTTGCCACTGTGCATATACATTGGCGCATGTGTGTTTGTGTGTGCATGTGTAAAAGGAAGTGGGTAGTTGTTTAGCGGACTGGAGGGACAGCGGAGCAGTCCAATGTATGAGAACATTCCTACAAAACTAAAACAGCATCTCATTCTGCTGTTTTCCCGTTCAGTCTGGCTTTAATTTACGATCAAAAATGTTTATGAAAGCCAAGACCACTGGAATTCTGTGCCAGCAGTCAGGGCACAGGAAGTCATGCGATTGTGAAGAAAATACTAAACTAGAGCATTGCAGTGTTTGTGCGTGACAAACATACTAGATTGGCTATACAATTAGACAGAGACATTTAGAAGCAACCGTTAACATGCGTAAATAGAGGGAATATTTCAGCCCGCACCAAGATTTACGCATTCCTTGTCGCATTTCTCACAGGATCTTGCTGCATATGCATGTGCACATTTTAAAATGCAGATCCGAAACGGATGCATTACATGACTTGTATCGACATGAATACAGAGCAGTAAGCCTTCAAGTAAAAATTAGCAGAAAGTATTCGTGAAACGACA